CCGAAAGAATTGTTGGAAATTGGTTATGGCAATTAATGGTTATTATTTGTATGTGGTGCTCGTTTATTCATTTAACTAATGTTTTTAAATAAACTTGAGATATTTTTTAAATGTCACTGCTTTATTTCAAATTATGTATCTATGCTATGTTAAAATTGAGGCCGATTATTTTAAATGCTTTTCTAAACCTTGTATGGGTTTGAAAAAAATTTTCTACAGAGCTTCATATTCACCCCCTATCGCTAACATTTTTTAGATTACCCGCTTGAGGAGGAGGACGTAAGGGTCGAGGAGCCCACTACTTGGGAGACTCCACTGGACGGGAGTGTGGATCCCGAGGTGGATGCATAGAGCGACCTCCTTTCTTTTTGTACTAGACTAAGACATTCTTTTGGAACATTGTGTAGTCTTGCTTCTTTTGTTTATTCCGCTGCGCTTCTTTAATTAATTTTTGAGATGTAATAGCCATGACTTGGGCTTATTCTTTTGGATAATGTTGTGAATATTCGTGGATGAAAAATGAAGTCTTGTTTCTTAAGGGATTATATTAGTGCTCTCATGATATGAATGGTTTTAGAATGTAATGTCGTTCAGGGTGTGTTTTGGGGCGTTACAAAGTTGGTATCAGAGCTTAGGCTTTAGGTCTTACATGGGAGCCGCAGGTTATGGAATCACCTCTAGAGCTTTAGGATTAGGGTGAATCAAATTCTTGAGTAAAATTTTATACACGTTCTATGCCTTAACTTAACCTAATATTTAGGATGTCCTGTACATCCATGAACTAAGTTGTGAATTGATGTGCAGGATGAACGGCAAACAAAGACGTGGGCATGGGCGTGGGCGTGGGCGTGGGCGTGGGCGTGGAGGTTAAGGGAATCCACCACCACCACCACCTTCAGATGCCATGCAAAGCATTTACCATTTCTTGAGGGAGCTCACCACTTTGGTACAAAACCAAAATGGTAACAACAGCCACAATGGTGGAGCTCATCCTCTCGCTCAAGTACCGGGCAATGGGAACGGAGACCGAAGGATGATAGCTCTTCGGGAATTCTTAAGACAACGACCACCCAATTTCCAAGGGAGCTCCAATCCTTTGGAGGCGGATAGATGGATCTGCCGAGTGAAAAAGATCTGCGACGGCATGGGAGTAGCCGAGGGTACGAAAGTTAATAGTATACCACTTCTACGAATAGCTCGTAATGCTGCGTCTCTTCCGAGACCGGGGCCTTTTATCATGACTTCTGCTCGTTGCATACCTTGGTCCACTACTGCACGAATAGCATTTCCTGCTGCGGTTTGAGCAGCAAACGGTGTCCCTCTTCTTGTACCCCTGAATCCACAAGTACCGGCCGAGGACCAAGAAACCACCCGACCTCTTACATCTGTAACAGTCACAATGGTATTATTAAAACTTGCTTGAACATGAATAACTCCCTTTGGTATTCTACGTGCACTCTTACGTGAACCAATACGTCCATTCCTACGTGAACCAACTCTCGGTATAGCTTTTGCCATATTTTATCATCTCATAAATATGAGTCAGAGATATATGGATATATCCATTTCATGTCAAAACAGATCCTTTTTTTTATTTGTATATCTTATTTGTATATCTATATCGATATGGGCTATTTTAACGAGTATGATTATCCTTGTCTTTGTTTATGTCTCGAGTTGGAACAAATTACTATAATTCGTCCCCGCCTACGGATTAATCGACATTTTTCACAAATTTTACGAACAGAAGCTCTTATTTTCATATTTGCCATTCCTTGCCTTAATTTTGTGGAAGAAAATAAGTTTCTTGAAATTTTGCATCTCTAATCGTATTCCCACGAAAAGAATGTTGAAGTTGAAAAACCACCTAATCCTTCGAATCCTTGTTGCGGAGTCGATAAATTATACGCCCTCGGGTTGAATCATAACGACTTACTTCAATTTTGACTCTATCTCCCGGCAGTATCCGTATAAAACTACGTCGGATCTTTCCTGAAACATAACCGAGAATCAGATCTTCATTATCTAAACGGACCCGGAACATACCATTGGGAAGCGATTCAGTAATTAAACCTTCATGAATCCATTTTTGTTCTTTCATTCCAGGTAAAACCCCCTTGAAGTATCAACTAATGGAGGAGGAACGATATTAGATAACTCGCCCTTTTTCTTTTTTTTTTCACA